CCATCCATCACATCGTCATCATCATCCATCCATCATCCATTCACCATCCATCATCCATCCATCATCCATCCTTATCCATCCATCCATCAATTTATTCATCTCTCCATCCATCCATCCATCCAGCCATCCAGCCATCCATCCATGTATTCATTATATATCTATCCATTCACCAATCCATCCATCCATCCATCCATACATACATCCATCCATCATCCATCCATCCATCCATCCATCCATCCATCCATCCATCCATCCATCCATTCCAGTCCATCCATCGCATCTATCCATGCCATTCAGTCCATTATCGATCCATTTATCAGGACCATCATCCATTCATCATCCATAATTAATTCACGGATCCATTCATCCACATCCATATCACGCCATCATCCATCATCCCAGCATCACCATCCATCCCAGCCAATAATCCTACATCCATCCATTATCTGTATTCTATCCTCATCACATCACATCCCCCATTCCCATTCATTCCATCCATCCATCCATCAATTCATTCATTGATCCATTTATCCATCTATCCAGCCATTCATCCATCCATCCATCCATCCATCCATCAATTCATTTATTGATCCATTCATCCATCTATCCAGCCATTCATCCATCCATCCATCCATCCATCATCTATCATCCAATTACATCATCCATAACATCTCATCATTCATTTATGCCATCCATCATTCCATCCATCAGCCATCCATCCATGTATTCATTTATATATCTATCCATCACATCCCATCCATCCAATCATCCATCCATCCATCCCATCCATCATCCATACAATCCATCCATCCATCATCCATCATCAATCCATCCATCCATCCATCCATCTATCCATCCATCCATCCATCCGTCCATCCATCCATCCATCGATCCATCATCGCATTCATTCATCCATCATCAATCCTATCCATTCATCCGATCCATCATCATCCATTGCCATCCATCCATCAATCCATCTCATCCATCATCACATCCGAGATTCTCATCCATTGCCACAGATCCATCCATCCATCCATCCATCCATCCATCCATCCATCATTCCATCCATCCATCCATCCATCCATCCATCCATCCATCACATCCATACATCACATCCATCCATATCCATCATTCCATCCATCTCATCCATCCATCCCATCCATCCAATCCATCTCATCCATCATCCTTATCCTAGCCATCCATCCATCATTAATCCATATCTCATCCATAACATCATCATCCAACCATCCACCATTCTCCATCCATCCATCCATCCATCCATATTCATCCATTCCATCCATCCATCCATCCATCTCATTTCATCCATCCATACCCATCCATCCATCCACATACCATCCATCACATCCATCCATCCATCCATCCATCTCATCCATCTCCATCCAACCATCCATCCAATCCATCTATCCATGCCATCACATCAAATTCATTCATCTCTCCATCCATCCATCATCGCAGCCATCCAGCCATCCTATCCATTGTATTCATTTTATATATCATATCCACCATCCATCCATCCATCCATCCATCATTCATCCATCGCAGTCCATCATCCACATCCACCATCCATCCTACTGCCCATCCCATCCATCTATGCTATCCCATCCATCCATCCATCCATCACATCATTCCATTCATCCATTTATCCATCCATCCATCCATCCATCGCATCCATCCATCCATCAATCCATCCATCTATTTCATCCATTCATCCATCCATCGTCCATCCATCCATCTATACATCCTCCATCCATCCATCATCGCATGCCATCCATCCATCATCATCCATCCATTCATCCAAATCCCTATCATCCATCCATCCAATCTCATCCATTCATTCATCCATCCATCTATACATCTTATCCATAATTCATTCATCTCTCCATACCATCCAATCCATCCAGCCATCCACCATCCATCCATGTAATCATTATATAATCCATCCATCCATCCATCCATCCATCCATCCATCCATCCAGCCATCCAGCCATCCATCCATGTATTCATTTATATATCTATCCATCCATCCATCCATCCATCCATCTATCCATCCATCCATCCATCAATCTATCCATCCATCCATCCATGGCCTGGCGTATTCGCACGGACTTCTGAGACCTACCTCTAAACGTCAGTTGGTCGGATGACAGCCAGGTGAGCGTGTCGTTCAGTGTGTCGTATACTCCGACGGTCTTCATCACGCCATCTGCAACAGTCACAGCACACACACACGGAATAGAGATGCAGTCAAAACAGACCAATTAAGAGTATAGTCTTGTGTATTGTTGTGATCTATCTCATGTGTAAATATGGGCGTATCGCAGCAGTGCATGAAGTATGAGCGAACGCCGGGACGCTGGGAAGAGTCACGTAACTAACGTTCTCCCATCTATGCTGATGTCACCCCGTCCTCTGTTAGAGCTAATACTGAAGACCCTCCTTCTGCCTGTGCTGACGCCGCCGGCCACTACTTTATATGGACAAATGCTTCTAGTTATTCTATCTGGGCTGATTCCCATTTGCTTTGTTCTGAGCTACTGCCTCTTACACTTCTTCTACCTGAGCTGGTAGCTCATCTTATGTATGGGTATGTACTGATCGAGGTCTGGTTTACAGATAACCTTTACTCCAACTATTATGAGTTAGTATTGCGTTAAAACATATCACAGCCAAACAATGCTCCCCGATCAGTCGATCTTTAAAAAACTAAGATTTTGTTTACTTATACAACGGCATTCCTTATCCACGATGAGCTTACGCTACGTGATCAAACTGCATGGCTCTTGTTATCTTCTTGTTCCGCTGCACGGCCGTTCGCGAGGAACGGCGCGCATGCATTCGATAAACGCCGCTATCCAATTTCGCCCACTCACCAATTTCTTGCTCTATTTTCAACTTGATGCCATATCTGTCGCCGTTGGGGCCGAACGCAAGAGGACCCTGTAACAATAAACGCCGATAACTCAAACATGGCGCTCCTGTCTGATCTCCAACTTTCCTTCATCAACACGTTGATGAGCGACGAGTTCTCTATGCTCACTGTTAGGTTCTAGACATCGGAAATGAGTGCCGTTCGATTTCATACGCGAATTGTAGTAAGTGCAAACGGCAATGCTGCCAACAGTGCAGTGTAACCGTAGCGGGCTCTTTACTAAACGCACGAGACTGCAGCAGGAGAACGCACATAGATACAGCATACAAAAAAACCGGTCGCTCAGAAAAAAAACGAATAAAGACGTCGGCAACGTGAAAGATAAATAATAAGGCAAACGGCCAATGTAATAAGGGGACGATCGAACGCGCAAATGCTGACACGATATGGCATGTTTGGAGAACGAATCTACGGAGCTTGGTTGCAGATTACAAAGGACGTCCTTTCAACCGTCCCAATCAACTTTACTTTCTCGTGGTTCTAACCGCAGTGAAATCGACATCCTCCAGGCTATGTGAGCATCCCGGCCGCCATGACTTAATTGGTATACTTATTTAGAGGGTGAATGCCGAAAAGCGATAGCGCGATCAGCGGAATTTATCCGCTACACCGACTATATACTATACTAGTCTATACTATACTATGAGAGTCGGAGGCAAGTTGTGATATTCCCTAATATCCATAATATACGTGCGGTGGTAGTGAAATTTACGGCATTGAGAATGATACTGGGCGGCAGTGCGGGGCAGGTGCGGGCTGCTCCTGACAGTTCGGCTCTGACGATGTATCGTCGTGGGAAGACCGCAGCGAAACCAGACTTGTTCCGCTAAGCGGATGTTACGGCCGGACCAGGACTAGTTTCGGCGAATTCGATATGATTGTTATTATTGTTATTATTATTATTATTATTAGTAGTAGTAGTAGTAGTAGTAGTAGTAGTAGTAGTATAGTAGTAGTAAAAGTAGTAGTAGTAGTAGTCGTAGTAGTAGTAGTAGTAGTAGTAGTAGTAGTAGTTGTAGTACGTAGTAGTAGTAATAGTAGTAATAGTAGAGTAGTTGTAGTAATAATAATAGTAGTAGTAATAGTAGTAGTAGTAGCAGTAGTAGTAGTAGTAGTAGTATAGTAGTAGTAAAAGTAGTAGTAGTAGTAGTCGTAGTAGTAGTAGTAGTAGTAGTAGTAGTAGTAGTAGTTGTAGTACGTAGTAGTAGTAATAGTAGTAATAGTAGAGTAGTTGTAGTAATAATAATAGTAGTAGTAATAGTAGTAGTAGTAGCAGTAGTAGTAGTAGTAGTAGTAGTAGTAGTTGTTGTTGTTGTTGTTGTTGTTGTTGTCGTTGCTGTTGTTGTTGCAATAGCAGCATCACTAGCAGCTAGTAGTAGTAGTATTGTAGGTTTCAGCGGGTGGAGACGTAACGTAGGCAAGTCTTTAAGGTAAGCCGATGTCGAGGGCGTATTTCGAATAATTTGTAAGGATCCCCGGGATAGAAAGTAACATAAAACTCACTACACATTCCGGCTGTATAATAGATCATGGTGGTATTATAAAAAGCGCATACAAGCTACATTAACAGCCAATCAATGTCAAAGTACTGACACGCCTGAGAATTGTGATCGTTGAGATTTTTGTGTGGAATTCCTGAACGGTCATAAAGGTAAACTAAAAGAGAGCTTTCTATCATATAGCATCATAAAATTGCGTCATATATATATATATATATATATATATATATATACGTAT